GGGTACAACTAACAGTTGGACAAGGAACCCGTTTTTTTAGATCATTTTGAGTGCAATTAAGATTAGGAGTAGGCGTGAGTGAGCAATTAGCAGTGGTTGTAGTGACAGTTATTGTTGCGGTGGTAGTTGTTATATCACATGTAGGCGTTGGAGTAACACATTCAGTTTGTGTAAGGGTACAACTAACAATTGGACAAGGAATAAATTTATTTTTTTTATGAGACCGTTTTTTTAGATCATTTTGAGGACAATTAAGATTAGGAGTAGGCGTGGGTGAGCAATTAGCAGTGGTTGTAGTGACAGTTATTGTTGCGGTGGTAGTTGTTATATCACATGTAGGTGTTGGAGTAACACATTCGGTTTTTGTAAGAGTACAAGTAATAGTTTTACAAGGAACAGGTTTATGTTTTTTATGAGATCGTTTTTTTAGATCATATGTTTCTTTAAAATCGCCGTGATGATCATCATTTTGAGGGCAACTAAGATTAGAGGTGGGTTTAGGTTTGCAAATGGAAGAAGTTGTAGTGACGGTTTTTGTTGTGGTGGTAGTTATTGTTTTGGAATCAACAATAAAGGTTGATAACAATAAATTGGAAAAAAGAATGAACAAAAATAATTTGGTAAAAGTTTTTCTATGCATCGTTAAGTCGAATTGTAAATTTGAAAATAAATTTTATAAGTATATATAAGTTTTGTTGATCACAGACTTTGTTTTTCTTTAATATCAACCTGCATGCTATCAATGAAATATTTTCAATTCAGATATTCATTTAATAGAGTACAGAATTTGACATATTATTGATTTCATTGTTGTATTTATAGATGGGAAAAATGCGCATTTTATAATAACGTGCGCATGAATGCGCATTAATGCGCACGATATATAAAATGCGCATGATATAATTTTTTTTGATTTTATATTTTTCCTCCGGAAATATCTTTTCGGAATTTTTCAAAACTTCCGCATTCCTATTACATAATTTTGCCTGGCATTATACACCTTGGCCTAAATTAAATATACTTCAATTAACTTTATAATTCCATCGTGACTAGCCATATATGGTCGTGTAACATTTGCTATATTTAATATGTAACATGATTTCCTTCGATTGCTTCATTTTTGGTTGTTGTATCGCTCTCTTGCAGGGATCAACTTAAAAAATTTCCTCGCAATACCCAAGAAAGGAAATATTTACTCTCGCCATTATCTTATATATCTTCATGATCATGATCATGATCATGACTATGACTATGATCTAGTATATAGAGAAAAAAAAAAACTATTGCGAACCAAGTAAGATAACTTACGAATTGTGGCAAAAAATTATCTTTTAGATGTTAATATAGCTGACCCGAATGTGTTTTTTGACTTTCTCAGTTAATTTATTATTTTTTTTATCGAATTTTTTAACGGTATGATGAATTGATAATCACTGATCGCCAAAGACATTGGCGAAAGGCCATAGAGAGAGATTGTGG